ACCCCCAGGAGCAAAAAATTCCGACCGGATTTTGGCAAAAAAAATCAGTTTTGATTTCGTTCAAAAAATATAATATGTCCGTTTTGACGAAATGACTGTTGAGGCGTCTATATTCATCCGGAACATGGGTTGGTAACTGAACTTCCACGGTTCCCCCAGGAAGGGAGACCGTCGTCATAACCGTGGGGACCGCCGCGCTGGCATCGGGCGAGGCCCCAAACAAGGAGTTGTCGGTTTTCGCCGAAAGGACAGTCACAATGAGTTGACTGTCCGCCGGACTCATCGACTCGCTTTCCATGTCACTGTCACCGTCCAGCTCGGGTTCGGCCGAGGGCTCTACCGAAAAGGCCTACGCCAGTTCCCTTGGTCCCCATCGATATTCCCTGGTCCGGGGTTGAAATGACACCCCTTCTTTCAAGAGYATCGCGGCTTTTTCATTCGTGAGTAGGGGCCGTGGCGGTCGAAAAGATAAATCGCACAGCCCCCTTAGCTCGGTAAATCTTTCAGGTAGGGGGTCCGTTCTGAGGTATAAGGACGCAGGGGGTTCCGAAAAGTCAGCTATCCGGGACACCCTCAGCAGGGGTTCCCCCTGCACCACGGAGGAGAACGCGTGCAACCAATTGGACCCGCCCCGAACTATTTTCAGTGGTTCTCGCTGCCAAGAATGGCGCCACCGATCCTGAACTCGGATCGGATATCGGTCGGGTACCTCAGTCTCGTCGGTTTCCGTCGAGGGTTCGTTTTCGCCTGGTGACAAGCGTCGGATCATGTTGATTTGATGGGCTTTCGAAGTGAGGCGAGGCGCCGGCTGGGTGCGCATGCGCACCGCCAGCCTCATTGGTATCGTTTGGGGTTTGGGGTGGGCCGATGTGAGCACCACCTTACAGCTGTCAAAGTGCATTCGCGCTCCGACCGCCGCCTGCCACGGAATGCCTAGCAGAACATCATACGCCTGTACATCCAGCACGATCACGTCACACAAACAAGGTACCCGCCCCACCCGTATGGCACGTTCGTTATTCGCCCTTTACAATGAATACTATCTTCCGTAGCGGATATATACAGTTCATCCGGTCGGAGGGGTTGAACCTGTCCTTCCCTTCCCAACTGTTTCGTTAATCTCCAAGAAATGGCGACCGCCGATGATCCCGAGTCTAGGATGGCGGCCGAGGGGTTTCCCCAGACCTCACAATCACACTCTACGCTTTTCCAGGTTATTGGATAGGCCCGGAGGAATACCTCGGGTTTTTCCGAGGCGGAATCTATGGTCTGGATCATCCCTATCCTGTTGGCTTCATGCACCTCTGAGGTTGAGGGCTGTGGTTCCTCGTTGGCGGGTGGGTCCCGTAGGACTGACTTTTTGCCCTTTCGACTTTCCTCGAATCGGCGCCTGTTTTTGAGGCACCGTTCGATCAACTTTTCGTTAGCCGCTTCAGAAATGGTTAGCAGATATGGAATAGGGACGGGGATCCAAAGATCCAGAACCTTCAAGGCATCCAATACGTCGATATGGCCATCCTTGTATTCAGGACCAGGTACCGCAAGATCTTCGAACCTTGGTCGCCACGGCCCGAGGTCGCTTTCCTCGGTAATCCGTTGGACATGACGTATCACTCCGATGGTCCCGGGTTCGAACATCGCTGCTGCCATATACTCATCGGGTCCTATCTCAGTGGCCGCAGGGGTCACCATCTCCGTCGTTCCTGTGTCCATTACCGTGGCTACCCTCCCCTGTCCTGCAGCGGTGGGAGCAGTCAGTGGGATTTGGGAAGGTCCGGTAGGACCGCCCTGAGTTCGGGGTTTCAAACAATCTTTCGCAAGATGGCCTGGCTGATTACAATTATAACAGCGTAGGGGTGGGACAGCCCCGGCCACAGCCGGTCTTATCATAGGGGCTCCGGCAGCCATAGCCGCCTGTTGCCGTTGTGCGGCGGCTATGCGTTGCCGTTGCAGACCTTGAACAAACTCCGTCAACGGGGCTACTACCATAACTAACTGGGCCGCGACCTCTTTCGTGGATACTTCTTCCTCGCCCCGGCCTCCTTATGTTTGACTAGGGCGACGGGAGGCCGAAGCAGAGGAGGAAGCTTTCCGATCCGAGCCTTTTTTTGCCAGACCCAACCCGAATCGATCTTCGAACATATGTGCCGTAGCGGAGTAGCTATTGCGTCGAACGCCCAAAGGGTCATCTTCGTCGGATTCTGAGTCCAGACCCACATCGTAATTTTCCTTCCCGTACTTAATTGCGTACTGAATTAGCTCTGTCAAAGTATGTTCTATAGGGTTGCATTTCTTGCGCATCTTTTTCCGCAGACGAGAATTTGACAGTCCTCTGACGAAATCAGTCCGTACCATCTTCTCATCCACCCCGGAGCGCTCGGCTAGGTACGTAAAACGTTCGGCATATCTAGCCAAGGTCTCCCGAGACTGCTGTGTGTATTCCTTTATTGAACGGAGGCATTGACCTGGTGCGATGTGATCAAATCTATCGAGAAATTTCCTATGGAAGGCTGCCCAATTAGTGAAGGGGTTTTGTCCGTACCACTCAAAAGCGGTTCCGGCTAACCTTCCGGGGATTCGTTCTCGGAGTAACTGGTTCGACCAGCCCTGGGCTTTCAAGGCCGCCAACCAGGTGCGAGGATCGGTGTCATCCTCAGAAAAAATGGGAACTTCGGAGGGAGGAGGTACAAAGTACAGGGGATGATTGGCCATCCCCGCATGGTTGTCGCCGTCGTTTGCCCCCACGATTCCGTGTTCCACCATCGTGGGAGGCGGGTTTCGAGCCCGACCCCTCGCTCGGTTCGGATTGCTATTCGCGAGCATCCGTCGATGGGGAGCCAGCCTACTCAAAAAAAAAATTCAAAAATTCCAGTAAAAAGATCAAAAAGGAAAAAGGAGAAACTTTAAAACAGGGCAATCGTCCTAGGAAAACCTCGAAGCCGAAACGAATCAGCTCTGATACCAACCTCACGCCCCCTTGCGGCTTCCCGTACGGGGTCGCCGATCAGAGTTCTAGGAGGGGCGTGGCCGAGGATTTTTGGCCGTAAGGGTTGAGTCTTTTGGACGGAACCGGAGACTCTCATTTCGTGGCCGAGGTTTTTCTCGGAGTCGAACTGACGCCGCGGAGTCGTGTGGGGGCCGAATCACTCCGAAACGATAAAATCAAAAATGAACTGCCGCCATGCATCGGGACGAAAAAAGGCATTAAGGGAAGAGGGCCATGGCAGCAGAAGACAAAACTTCGATCGTCAGGGGTTTGGGGGATAGGTGGTGGGTTCGAAGCCTTTGGGCCTCATCATCGACTTCACAAAGTGTCTGAACCCTCGGGTCTTTGTTATGGAGGTGGGTTGTTCGAGGCCTTCAGGCTGCGGCGTCGGACTCACAGAGTCCGCGCGAAAGTTTCCGGGAGGGTAAAGAGGCGGGAGGACTCGTCGGTATCTGAAT